GACCTCTGGAGGGGATTAAGAACTTTAGCACAGTTAAAGAACTCTAAAACAATCTATTAAACTAAAATTGTGCAATCCTGCTCATTCCCAAAACTTTGCCTGGACATGCCATGTTTGTTCAGTTGACATCAGCAGTGAAGCAAGCATTTCGAAAAGGGGATGATCATAGGATCAGGAAAGTATAAAAATTGTTCTGGTAACAAACCCTCAGACACGCAGAAGCTTCAGTTTGCTGTGAACCATGATGTCCTTCAAGACTGCACTGGGTCTGCTTCTCCTGGCCATGGTGGCCATGGTGGCTGAATCCTCATGGGGCAATGGTACATTTACAAATCTTTTTCATTTTTGAAATATTTATTAAGCATATTTAATTTAAATAACTAACAAGAATATGGATTGAAGTTGTTTTCAGCCTTAAACTGTTTTAATGTTAGCACTGGTGCACATTCAAGGGAATGATCTGTTTTCCATCATGTTAATCTCTTCGGGGAAAGGGAACTCTTACAGTTATGACCTTTCCAAGATGTCTGATCTGAGGAAGCTATACAACTCCAAAGTTTTCAAGGCAGAGAGGATGACCAGGCCTCTAGAGGGGATGACATTCCAAGTAGGCAAACTTAGCCACTCTGGAGTCAGGTAAAATCAATGATATTTGATCCACATTTGATCCACATTTTTGTCCATTTATTTTGTGTTGTATGCATCATGGTGAATACATCACAGTTGTATATTGAGAGGAGTGAGTGTTTTGAATCTTATGCATTTTGTCCGCTGGTCTTGCTTTTAGAGTCACTCTAGAAGACGACACTAAATGGCTGGTCCATAAAGGAGATGGCTATGGCATCTCATCCCAGACTGTTGTTGTGGCTGCCCGTCATATGAGCAATAACTGGAAGGCAAGTATTTTTGCAACTTTGGTGTAGCTTGAAGATAAGGGTCAGTATTTTATCCATGTATTAAAGTCTAGGGGTTATTTAATATATAATTCACTCTCAGTTTCACTGTACTTTATCATTTTGTTCTGATTTTTTTTTTTTTTTTTTTTTGACAGATTGTTGAGACAAAAAATTTTCGTGGGAGCAAGACAGTGTCTGACTTTGTGAAAGCTGGAGGAACAGACTACAAACTTTTGTTTGATAACTGCCATGATGCAGCTGACAGGATGATGGATGGTTAAATTGACAACAATTATGTTAATATGTTATATGTGCAGAAAGCATCACTAATAATTTTTTTGTTAAATCAATTTGATAATGCATTCTTAACGGTTACACTGCTGTGTTTATTAAATATTTTTACAGTTTTTTTTTTCAACTGCTTACACACAAAATCTTTACTTGTCACACAATTTCTGAAACCTGACACTCAAACACCAGAACCACACACCAAATCTGCAAAACCATACACTAATTCTCGGCTTTTGACTCAGTTTTCAATTTCAGAAAACACTTTTTGCAAAACACAACACACAATTCTTTAACACACAAAAATCAAGAGGAATTAATATTATGGCAAAGGTGTTTGCTTTTGAGATGTGTTTGTGACATTTTGCAAGAGATGTGAGGCATTTTGCGTTTTGTGTGTGCAATTCTTGGATTTGTGTGTAAAGTTTTGAAAAAAAAGAGGCAAAGTTTTGAAAATGTGTGTAAGCAGTACAGTAAACTGAAAACTTAATATTATGGCAAAGGTGTTTGCAAATGTTTGCTTTTGAGATGTGTTTGTAATATTTTGAATGCAGTGCTTCATTTTGCAAGAGATGTGAGGCATTTTGCGTTTTGTGTGTGCAATTCTTGGATTTGTGTGTAAAGTTTTGAAAAAAAAGAGGCAAAGTTTTGAAAATGTGTGTAAGCAGTTGAAAAAAACTGTAAATGTATGATTGTGTTTCAATTTATTGAATATTAGTAATCTTTTAGAATTTGAAAATAGATGGTTCAATATCAAAATTATTCAAATGTAGCTAACTCTCAAACGTTTTGAAATTCGAAAATGTGTAATATTAGAGTAATCATGAGCTGTAGGTTGTGACAGAGGTTCATGTGTACTTCAGTTTATCCACAAGTTCTATGCAGATTTTATTGGTCATGTCAATGCACTGTGCTGCTTGTCTAGCGCTTTTAGAAAGCTTTTGAAAATATTCCAACATTGATTCTTTGAGTTTATGTTGCATTTAGTGTGCAAATCCATTTTGCTTAGATGTTTATTAAAAATTTATTAAATTGACACCATACCTTTAGTTTGGGTATTATTAAATTCTAAAGAAAATGTTGCCGAATAGGTTTGGCTATTTGTAAAATATTATATTTTGCTCCAACTTTTTAATGTGTTATTACTCACTTGCACTTGAATGCTGTTTTTGTACACTTTTTCTCTTTTTAGTTTAGTTCTGGCAAGAAATTGTTTTTTTTTTTTTTTTTTACTTTCCATTTGCCAGCAGAACAACACAAATTTAGAAATTCTTACTTGTGCAGTTACCTATGACAAACTCTCAGAGGATTGAAGCTTCTTTATATTGACCACATTATGTCTCAAAGAAATAGCTCACACAATTTTTTTTTTGTAAGAATTTTGAAATGTTTGTTAAGCTGCAAAATGGCTGAAAGGGCATTGTTAAATTACAACACTATATAAAAAGAAAAATAAATTTTGTCTAGAAGTGATGTGCTGTTTGTACTGAAAGTGAAATATCTGAACAATGGTGGATGGAGTTTGTATAAATAATCAAATAAGTTTGTCAAAGAGGTTGGCTAAATAGACACTGCCTAATAATTATCCTGACTGTACCTCAGTCACTTCTTATCCCATGCCATGTACTTTGTGTGAACAGCATTTATCATCATTTGCACTTAGTGTACAAGCAAGTATTTATGAAATTAAGTTTAATGCTTCTTTACATAGCTATTCAGTTTGTTGACCGACATAAATAAAACCATTGTTCATTGTTTTCCAAGGGAGTTCATTCATGACACTTTGCAGTCCAGCTCTTTCCCAAAGCACTGCCTCTGTACGCTATGTTTGTTTAGATAAATCAGCCATGAATTCAGCTTTTGGTAATGATCCCACACAAGTATAAAGTATGTATGCTCTGGTAACAAAATCTCATCAGATTCTCATGAGCTTCAGTTTCCTGTAAACAATGATGTCCTTTAAGACTGCACTGGGTCTGCTACTCCTGGCTGTGTTGGCCATAGTGTCTGAACCCTCATCGGGCAAAGGTACATTTATAAATTTTGTTAATTTTCACTTTGCGTACTCTTTTTACATTGTCTGCATCTTTATATAAACATTCATTTAATTAACCAACTGTGGTCTAAGGTTTGTTTTAAAATTAGCAAAAGTGTGCATTTGCATGAATTTGCTATTTTCTGTAACACTGAATCTCTTTAGACAAAGGCCCCTACAAATATGACCTTTCCAATAAGTCTGATCTAAAGAAACTCTACAACTCAAAAGTGTACATGGCAGAACGGTTTGCCAGACCTCTGTATGGGATGCCTTTCCAAATAGGCATTCTGAGCCACTCAGGAGTCAGGTAAAAGCAAGATATAATCAACAGTTCTGTAACTGTATCTTGTGTTATATGCATGGTGAACAAAAGGCTCAATAAATCACAGTATATTGAGTGGAGTAAGTGTTATGCATGTTTTCTGCTTGTTTTGTTTGTAGAGTGACTCTGCAAGATGGCTCTAAATGGTTGATCCATAAAGGAGATGACTATGGCAAATCATCCCAGACTGTTGTTGTGGATGGCCATCATATGAGCAATAATTGGAAGGCAAGTAGACTATTTATTGATGAGAATACATTAAATATATTTAATAGCCTACCTGATGTGATCATTTTGGTCTTTGCGTAAACTTTTTTTCAGCTGAAAGAACAAAAAGATTTTGGTGGGAGCAAGACCGTGTCTGATTTCGTAAAGACAGGAGGAGCAGAGTACAAACTTTTGTTTGATAACTGCCATAATGCAGCCAACCGGATGATGAATGATTAAATTTGCTTCAGTGTAAATTCACTGCAACTACACTGAAAATGGATGCCGAATACTGTGACACACACTGTCATGTTGCTTAAAAAAATAAAGTAATTCATTATAATATTTAAATGTAGATATAATTTTTAATTAATTGTAGCCTTAGTCATGTTTTGAAATTTTACAATGGAAAACAATATATTTGTTTAAAGTTTCAAACATGTATATAATCATCATGATTTAAAAATAAATAAGTAAATAAAGCTGCTGAGCTGCAGATGGCGTCAGAGGCTCATGTGTCCTTCAGTTTATCCATGATCCGTAACTGCAAAATGGCAAAGGCTGTGGAATATTTAAAGTGTAAGAAGGGAGAATATGCCCAGCTTCAGAAAAGTGCATTTCCTTTTAAATTGTAATTGTTTTAGATAGCCTACAAGTATGGATGATGATGCATCAGCTAGTGTGTTATTAAGGGAGGTAAATAGAAACACCCCATTTATTAGAATGCTAATTTAGTTCTCATAACACTATGTTTTAACAATATTCAAACCTGTGGCAAGAAGCCCATTGGTATACTTTTTTGTTAAAAACATTAATGTGTCCACAAATTCCTCATTAACAAATAGACACAAAAACTTTTCATACAGACTAAAGCTTACAAATGTTGATATTCAGATGAAATGACACACATTAGATGTGTACAGATTAGATTTTGTCCCATCTATAGCCAAAAGAAAAGAATTATGGTGGGGTAATCTTATCCCAGCACACTGAAAACTGTTTTTGATTTAACACAACTGCATTTTCTGAATAAGAGAGGCATGCATATGTTTAGCGCTTGAAGTTTTACCAATTCATGTAAACTAACTATATCAAAATTCACAAAAAAGACATTTGGCACTGTAGAAGAGATGGTCGATTTCAAGCTGAAGTAAATGGGCTCTGTCTCTTTTACAATAAAACAAACAAAACACAAAGCGTCTGGTTATAGGTCACGTGTCAGTCTGCGGCGCTCGTGCCTTCAGGCATTTTGTGCGTCGCAAGCGTGCGCGCGCACGTCCAGTTTGGGTAAAAGTAACTGAGCTGGAATGAATACAATACACTATAGGAATTAATTGCTATTCTCTCAATGAATTTTCAAAGGTAAATGTTTATGTCACGCGTATAGCGGTCATCAGAAAGCAACTGTCATTCTTCGATTCGTTTTAACAACGATAAAAACTGGCCTGTCATTTTTTGTCTCTTTTTTTTGCACATAGTTTTATCCCCTCGGAACGGTTTAGCTAGTCAGCTGGTACAGCATTAGCTGCTTGGCTAGCTCTGCTGTGCTAACTGGACAATGAGAGGTTTGACTTGAAGTTTCAACTTTCAAATGATGAGGTGTATTATTTTTGCTCACGGGTTTAGTGACTCTTTAAGGAAAGACTTGACAATTATATTCATACTGCAGGAAATTTGAGAAACTCGTTAGCCAGTACCTAGCATTAGCAACCAATGATAATCCAGTGAAAAGAGTCAGGTACCCTGTTTTCATATTTTTACGTTTTTTTTTCACTCTTAAATTTGCTTCTAGTTATTTTAGAAGGTTGAGTTTTCCTTACAGGATAACTAGTTGTTAACATGGCGATTTAACTTGTGCCCTAGTCTGTCATAAGTGGAGTACAATAGCTGGTTAGCTTAGTTAGCCACTGTCCTGTCTGAACGCTTTTCTATAAACTCTAATGTATTGACTTGATTTCTGTTGTTTGCATTTAATAGTAATACTTCGTGACACGTTAAAGTGTGCAAACGTTAGACAAATATCTACCGATATCTCCAGATATGAGTGTATCAGAATACAGTAGGTTGTTCAAAGGCCTGGTTTAGGGTGCATTTTGCAAGCTGGTAAAATAGTTGAGCATATGTTCCTTAGTCAGCTTGAATGAAACCGTGTATGTTTATTGGTACATTTACAAATACTACCTATGCAAATGCAGTGCATGTTGGAAGGAGTCAAATCTTTGTCTGTTTTACTATAAAGTTGGTATAAATAATGTGTTTGTCTATGTGATATAGTTCATAGACTCATAGATCATTTCTTTATGTTCATAGGTCCGTCCACAGGACGAGAGAGCGTTTGTGTCTTGAGAAAGACCTGGTAAGAGTACACTCAAAATGAGCAAGAAACTTCCAAATCGACCAGGGATCATTTTTGAGGTTGGCGCCAGGGTTGAGGCCCGGGACTACCTGCAAAAATGGTATGAATTCGTTTTGAAGGTCCATTTAAAAATGCAGTACAATCACTTTTGCTAGCATATTGTTTGTTAAAACAGAGGGTTTTAAACTGGTCCAACTGTGGCTTTAAGGGAAATTTTAAGAGAAAATTTTATATAATAGTGTAAAAATTAATTTGATATATAAATAATAAAAAGATTTAAATGTCTATGTATAAAAAAAAAAAGTAAGTAAATGATTGAAAAAATTATTAGATCTATCTGTTTAGTACCAAAATGATAAAAAAAATTAATAATGTAACTTAATAGTGATACATTTATAATATTAATTTTCACATTATAACCTGGGTGTTTATACAGTAAACTATTTAGATGCTTTTTAAAATTTAGGATGCTTTTAATTTGGTCTTATTTAAAACAAATAGGAATTACACTGAAACATTAGTCTGTTTGTATGTCACTTTCTTTAAGAATAGTTTGTTATTAAGTTTTAAATGTTTTCTGTGCTTTGTTTGTAGTTATCCATGTATCCATGATCCATGTTGAATGGTTTCTTTGCAGGTACCCTTCACGTATCGAAAAGATTGATTACGATGAGGGAAAGATGCTTGTGCATTTTGACCGTTGGAGCCATAGGTACGATGAATGGATTCTCTGGGACAGCAACAGAGTTCGACCATTAGAGAGACCGGCGCTTCGCAAAGAGGGTCTCAAAGAAGAGGAGGTGTCTGTATGTTTGCAGTACTTCCACTTTTCAGATATGTTTATGATCTGAGATGTCTAGGATGACATGGCAAGCATGAGAAATGCAGGGAATTTTGTTGGCTTTTAGAGTATGTAGGTGGAATGAAGCTGCTAAAATAAACTTTATTGACGTTTTCAGCCACTCAAATGAAAATCCCATTTGCTAATGATTGATTGATTAATTCTTGTCTTACAAACATTTCTGCCAGGAGAGACTCAGCGAGATGAGAGCATCTCGCCTTCGTGAGCTTCCTGAAAGTACAGAGAGCACAGAGGACCAAAAAGACTTAACCCAGCAGAGACAAGTACATACCTCAATTGCCCATCTACCTTGATCTGGCTCTCTCAAACTGCTTGTCCCATCATTGTTTGGGTTTTTCCTCCATCTACATAGCCAAAACCTTTTAATGTTTTTCTTTGGGCTGCAAGTAATCATCCATTTAAAAAAAAATACATAGGCCTTTGTGACTTATATTTAAAGAGGTGTTGTTACACTTACTCTACTGTCCAAAAGTTTGGTTTTGGTAAGATTTTGTAAAGTTTTTGAATGAACTGTCTTGTGCCCATCTATTATTCAGTCAATAAATAAATAAAATAAAAACAAGTGATATTGTGAAATATTATTAAATTATTCCTGTTGTGGCAGTGCTTCTCAAGAAACATTTCTTGTTGCTTTCAGTGTTGAAAACATTTTTGATACTTAATAGTTTTGTGGAATCAGTGGCATATTCTTTCAGGGCTTTTTTGTTGAATAGAATTCTCAAAAGGACAGTTTTTATTTGAAATATATGTTCTTTGAAACAATATAAAATTTTTTTTACTGACCTCAAACTTTTGAATTGTAGTATAAAGAAAGCTTTACTTTTAGATGTATAGACATAAAGTACAAAAAAATATGATTAAGAATCTATAAATACAGTTGAGGCTTCTGTGGTTTTCTTGAATTGGATTTTAACTAGTATTTTAACTTATCTGTGTGGTTGTTAAACTACTATAATCAGCTTGGCAGGTGCTACATGAAATAATAAGAGGTTTGCGGTGTGTTCATCACTATTTTGTTCTGCTCTAACCATTCACTTTTACGATCACAGCACATCCCATATCTTCAATACAGGCTTGGTTGAATTTGTCTGGGTTGTGTTGAATGTAATTAATTGCATGTCTATTTTGTTTTCTTTGCATTTTTAGGAATTGAGAGATGGTGAGGAGGTGCTTGCCCGATGGACAGATTGCCGCTACTACCCTGCCAAGATTGAAAGTATCAACAAGGAAGGTAAGATCACCTGATCCTTTAGGGCAGAAATATAATTTTTCTGTCAGTTTGCATTTAAAAAGTTAATTGTAATTTAATTCAGTTAAAGTGAATCTGGCTTTCTTTGGTTAAGTGTGACTAATGATTGTTCTCAAATACATAAGAAAAAGTTTGCTCAGATGCTATTTTGGGAAGGATAGGATTTAGCCAAATGCATCCACAGGTTAAACATAAACTTTGAAATTCTTTTGAATCAAATCTAAAAGATCAAGAATGTATTTGCTGTTATTTTGTTTACTTTAGGCACTTACACTGTACAATTTTATGATGGAGTCATTCGCTGCGTGAAAAGAATCCATATCAAGTCCATGCCAGAAGATGCAAAAGGACAAGTAAGTTTATTAACCCTAAAACAGGCAAGAGTGGAAAATGATCAGCAAAAAATAATTTCATGTCACTTTTTATATCATCTGGACTTCAATATGTGTATTTTTTGTAATATTTGATATATTTTGGATTTCATGAGTTGTATCTCCCAGGATACGTTGCCCTTTTAGGGTATAAAAAACAGCCTAAGTCATCAATAATTCTATGATTTATTTGATGCAAAAAAATATGTAATATTCAAAATATGCTGCATGTATGACATGTCTTAAGTGTCCTAATTTTGAGGCACAGACATTTCTTGTATTTTTACATTTCTAAACTGTCTCTTCTTCATTCTCAGTGGTGGGCAATTCCACCCCTTGAGGTCCACTGTTTAGCTCCATCCTTATACAAACATATAATGTAATTTATGTAACAACATATAATTTTTGTGTAATATAAAAAACAGCCTAAGTCATCAATAATTCTATGATTTATTTGATGCAAACAAATATGTAATATGCAAAATATGCTGCATGTACAGTATGACATGTCTTAAGTGTCCTAAATTTGAGGCACATACATTTCTTTTATTTTTACATTTCTGAACTGTCTCGTCTTCATTCTCAGGGGTGGGCAATTCCACCGCTTGAGGTCCACTGTCCTGCATGGTTTAGCCCATCCCTAAACAATCATATAATGTAATTTATGTAACAACATAATTTTTATGTAATCCTGAAGACTTTTGTTAGATTTTTCAGATGTGTTTGATCAGGGTTGGAGCTAAACACTGCAGAATGGTTGCCCTCCAGGAGCAGGGTTGGGCACCCCTGTTCTACCATAAAATGAGCTGTGTGAAGCCCTGCAAGAAAAAAAAGTCTAGTTAAAAATGCAATTAGTCAACTAAATGTAATTTTATCAGTTTTACATGCAAATATTAACATTTGCACAATTTTTAAACTCAAAATAAATAGAAAGGGGACTGTGTACAGGGGGCCCAAAGGCCAGAAGGGCCTATAAGGTTCTTCGCTAAGGGCCCCTTGCCCTGGTATGCGATTTCTACTGAGGGGGATCCGCTCCCCTTGATGCGATTTATAATCCCCATCCATCCCCCACCCCAGAATGCACAATAATGAAATAACCAGAACAGGGGGCACAGTTTACCTTGTGACACCATTCATTGTCAGTATTGAGGATAATCCTTTTTTTTATACCCTAAACAGGCAACGTATCTCAGGAGATACGCATATTTCAAAATGCAATAAAAAACAACAACATATGACTTAATTTTCTCAAGGCAATGTTCACAATTAATACTAACAGTTGTGTTGCATTTTTTTACTGAAAAAAGTAAGATTAATATATGCCTACTTTCTACATTTTCTGAATGTCCAGCCCCATGGGTGTACATGTTGGCTTTGGGTCAAACTGACAAAACAAGCACAGAAAATTTGTCATGTGACCCCCATACTCCAGACAACCTCAACTGTGATTATGATGACAGTATTGGATGAAAAATTCTTCCTCGTGCCTCCTACAAGAGACTAAAGAATATATATCCTGTGGTACACATTGCCTGTTTAAGGGTTAAAGTGACTTCACAGAGTCCTCATCAGTTCCTTTTTTTCTTTTTATAACAAATAGGTTCTCATGAAGTTTAATAGATTTGTTTTTCACAGCTTGATCATTTTTGAGCATGCTTTATAGTTAATTGTATATTTCAGTGTGGCCCTCTATAGCAGTGTTTCCCAACCTTTTTTTTAGTCGCGGCACCCTTTGGAAATTTTAACAAATTTGTGGCACCCTACAAAATTAATTTTGTCACAATATTTGAATTTCTAACTTCGATGTGATAATTTGAAAAGTATAGATATTTGGTACAACAGGGAAGAACTGCAGAATATCAAGTCAAGTCTGCTTTATTGTCAATTCTTCCACATGTACAGCACATACACACAGAGAATTGAAATTGCGTTACTCTCAGACCCTTGGTGCATACAGATAACACTAACAGTAGAACATAAATACAGATATACAGATTAAATATAAAATACAACTATACAAATATACAAATAAGGTAAAATGTAAAAAAAATATATATAAAGCAGCACACGGCACATGGCAGATAGAGTGCAAACCAGTGAATAAACAACAGTGCAGATATAATGATTTGTAGTGCAAAAAGAGCTTATTTAGACTGATTAAAGTGACAGTGTGTGTGTGTATTTGGGAGGGGGGAGTGGGAGAGTTCTAATTATTGGCGACATCAGAAATGGATATTATATAATAGATGCTTTTTTGAACATTTTACCAATTTAAAAATATTAAAAAAGGATTTTTTACACGGCACCCCAGCTCTCGACAGACGGCACCCCGGTTGGGAAACACTGCTCTATAGTATTGTCCTTGACCTCTTCCTCTCTTTCAGAAGGTAAAATGCATGGGGTCAATCCTGAATAATATTTGAAGACACAAGCAGCTGGTCCACACAGCTTACATTTGCGTCTTTGTGCCAGTCAGGCAGCTCAGGGATGCCAAATCACTTTATTCTACCTCCTCAGTTACCTTTACTACTGTATTACTGTAAATATCTTTATTTTTTTAATTAAAAGTTTTTTTTGTTTTTTTTTTGCATGTTGGCCATGGTCAGAGGTGTGTTTGTGACTGGTCCATGTCAGATGTGACTGATAGTGTATTGGTTTGTGTTCAAGCAGGACTGGATCGCTCTGGTGAAGGCTGCTTCAGCTGCAGCCAAGAATAAAGGCGGGAACAGACCACGCACCAGCGCCAACAGCAACAAGGACCGAGAGGACAGGAGGGAACAGCAGTCAGATGAAGAGCTTGACGATGACGAAGATGATGATTATGAGAGTGAATCAGAGAAACTTGGTATGTGATTTGTTAGGACTTTTCTTGCCCAATGAATTTCTGGATGCTTTACGGTGAAGTTCTTGCCTACCGATCTGTGTTCAGTTACAGTGGGTACGGAAAGTATTCAGACCCCCTTAAATTTTTCACTCTTTGTTATATTGCAGCCTGTCCACCAACGTTTACCATCCAACCTGACAGAACTGGAGAGGATCTGCAAGGAGGAATGGCAGAGGATCCCCAAATCCAGGTGTGAAAAACTTGTTGCATCTTTCCCAAAAAGACTCATGGCTGTATTAGATCAAAAGGGTGCTTCTACTAAATACTGAGCAAAGGGTCTGAATACTTAGGACCATGTGATATTTCAGTTTTTCTTTTTTAATAAATCTGCAAAAATGTCAACGATTCTGTGTTTTTCTGTCAATATGGGGTGCTGTGTGTACATTAATGAGGAAAAAAAATTAACTTAAATGATTTTAGCAAATGGCTGCAATATAACAAAGAGTGAAAAATTTAAGGGGGTCTGAATACTTTCCGTACCCACTGTATATATCTTTCATAAACCTTTGTCATTTGGTTGGAGATTGAACTTAAATCAGCACTTTGTTCATATTGATCAGCCACATCTGTTTATTTCCTGCTTTACGCAGCAGAACTGGACTCTGAAGAGGAGGACAGTAAGCCGGCTGCTGAAGAGCTTGAACCTGCTACAGCAAAAAGGAGGAGCAAACGACAAGGCAACTTGTGCAGCAGTAAAAGGATGCGTCTCAGCAAGGGGGCAGGTAAACGTCATAGGTCCTTAAAATTTTGTTGTGGACCATGAGGCCTTAGAGTCAAAAATGTTCTAAATTCATCTTTAATAGTGAGAATCATCATTTCTTCAATATTTATTAAATAAACTGTGACAATAATTCAGCAGAGCATAGTGATTATGATGTTTGTGTGTGATTTTCCTTTCTGATCATCAAGGATGTGCTGACACTGAGTCTGAATGCAAAGCAGAGTCAAAAGAGCTTTCAGTGACATCACAGCAGGTATAGATGAAACTGACATACTGTTATCAACATGATGATCACTTTAGTACACACACTCTGTCATGTTTACTTCTCCACCCTTTAGAAAGCGTCAGGTGCAGAGGCTAGTCCAGCTGATGAGAGATCCCAGTCCGTCAGTTGTCAAAAAACCCCAGCATCCCTCTCTAGCCCATCCCTGTGTAAGTCTCGCTCAAGAAGATTCAAACATGACTCGGGAGAGTCCACCACTAGCAATCAGAACACAACCGCAGCCCCCGAACCCAGTCCTTCACCCAGTTCGACACACTCCCTCCCAGACAGTACACACACAGGTAGGTATTGTTTATGCATTGTCAGCTATCAGAAGGTACAACAAACTCATCGGCACCAAAAAAATTTAAATAATATTAAATAGATGTGAAAATAATATGCATGTCTGTTTTTGCATAGCCCCTACCAACTCCCCTCAGAGAAGGAGACGATCTCAGCGTCTAGCAACAAGCTCTGACCAGGCTTATCCCTCTTCACCACACACGAGGGATTCCAGCACTCACCCTCCTCCTCCTCCTCCTCCAGATGACTCTCAAAAAGATGGTGAAAGACATAAACTTGCTTAAGTAGAGCTTATGGCATAGTAAAGCACTTAAAAATGACTGTTCAAAAGTTTTGCACGATTTACAAATATTTTTTTAAGACTCATATGCTCATCAAGACTGCATTTTTTAATAAAAGTACAGTAAAAATGGTAATATTGTGAATTATCTTTATGAATCTTAATATATTTTAAAATATAATTATTTGATGGTAAAGCTGAATTTTCAGCAGCCATTACTCCAGTGTTCAGTGTCACATGATCCTTCAGAAACCATTCTTATATGCTGATTTGGTGCTCAAAAAACTTCATATCTTATTATTATCATAAATGTTTAAAACAGTTGATATTTTTTGGAAACGGTCAGATTTTCTTTGAATAGAAAGTTAAAAATCAGCATTTATTTGAAATACAAATGGTCACATTATAAATCTCTTTATTGTCACTTTAATGCATCCTTGCTGAATAAAACTATTACTTCTTTAAAAAAATAAAAGAATCTTACTGACCCAAAACTTTTGAAAGGCAGTGTACATGCATGCCAATAGCACCGCTCTAGAATAGTGTGTTTTGAAATTGCATAAATACCTGATCTGTGTAAATGATGCATGTTATTTTATGTATTTATTTATTTTTTTAGTTGAAGACAGCAGCACTGCAGTTAAAACAGAAGCTCCTCCACAAAAGCCAGCTTCAGGAAGCCCATCCACAGCTCCTCCTACTAGCGTTGCTCAGTCACCAATCAGTGAGAAGGACAAGATGACTGACGTGTTGTCCAGTAATCAAACAACACTTGAAGTGAACTCGCCTTCTGTAGTGACAGGTTGGTTGGCCATAGAATTGAATGCCTTCATTTTGTTTCTTCATGAACCTTTTGAAGTACACTTCGTGTTTCGTTGATATAATAAACAGCAAAGTCACATACCAGGATATATTGAAAATATAAACTGTAGATTGTGTAATGTTAATGGTGTTGCTGCTGGGCTTTTGTGATATGTAAATACTATGTATTATCTTCTCATTTTATGTTTAGTTGCATTTCAGAAAGTTCCTTCCAGGACTCCTAAAGCCAACAAACACGCCAGAGAGCCAAGTATGAAGCATCACTTGTCTTCCACTCACTTCAATTTAAAAGACTGTATATATATATATATATATATATATATATATATATATATATATCTAAAAAAGG